GTACTATATATATATATATATATATATATATTTTGCACTTCTTTTTTTAGCTTCATACACTTTGCCTGCAAAGCTGTCCTTACCAAATAGTTTCTGAAGGACAACTGCTTTCTGCCTTGGATCTAAGGCAACAGTTAAACTTGGGGGGTGTGGTGTTATTATTGTTATTTGGGAATTTTTTAATTTAGCTTTTCCCCCCCCCTACAACTTTGATTTGCTTGTTATACTTTTTGCATTTATTTGGTAAGGTGGCACCTTGGGTTTGTGAAGTTTTAGCCACTAGAAATAATCCTTGTGAAACTGCAGCCTTGATTTGGGCTTTTTTTTTGCTTTACGAGAAAAACAACAAGAAGATCCTATTTTTTATGGCTGCAAATGGGTCCTACCTTTTAACATTGTATTGGCACTCAACACACTTCTCCTGTGCTTTGCCCAGCATTCTTTTACATAAGTCTAGAAAGTACCTTTCAAATATTGTTACAACTTTTATTTTTATTTTAAAACTGCTTTGCCGGGCTGTATGGCATGCACTTTATAGATCTCTTTTTTGCTCCTTTTCTTCCTCAACATTTTTTACATAAGGGTTAATTCCTTTACTTCTCTACACTGGGCTTTTATTTTTAGGATAACTCTCTGCAATAACAAGTTATTTGCCTTTTTTTTTTGGTTGCGTTTGTTATTTAGCACTATTCAGTGACGTTCCTTTTCCACCCAGACCCAGTTTCTCCCTAATACCTATCTGGGAGTCTATAGGGTCCACCTTTGCATTTAACTTAGTTCCCCAATGACCCGGAAAACTCTTCAAATTTAAGCCCTACCAATGCCATTGCTAAAGTGCTGGGTTGCGATCCTTGACAGTAAAGCTAGACATGTAATAAACGATACCTTACCTGGTCCAGGAGAATGGATCCGATCCGAGTCGCTGCATCACTACAATGGAGTAGTCTTTGAAACCTCTTCCACTTGATTCCTCAAGAACTCAGTTCAACTCCAGTCTCATCACTCAGGTTTCTTTATTTGGCATAAAGCTATGCCAAGTTAATCAAACTCACATGTGGGTACTGGGCATACCACACATCTGAAGTTACACAACCACGCTCCTGACTTTTCTTGCCATTGTCATCTTGTTCTTAGTAAATGTTTCCCTGGGTGTTCTCCTTATCTTAACTAGCTCAGACATTCTGTCTTTTAGCTTAGCGCAGGTCTACACTTAAACTGCTGTGCCGCACCCCTGGAGTGCCTAAATGAAGACGCTCTATACTGACAGGAGACAGCTGGCCCGTCGGCTTAGGTAATCCACCTCCGTGAGAGGCGATAGCGATGTTGGCAGAAGCTCTCCTGCCAAAACAGCACTGTCTACACTGGTGATTAGGCTGGTATATAACTCAGGGGCGTGAATGATTCAACCCCAGGACCACGTAGTTATGACAAAGTAATTCTGTAGTGTGTAGACTTGCTGTTTGTGACCCATTTACTTATCTTAGCCCAAACATTCAGTTTTCAGTCTACTGATCTAGTTACCTCCCTAATCTTGTCTTCCAAAAATTAAAGCCTCCCTAATGACTCGTGTTCAAGCCAGGCCTACAAGAGTAACTAACCACTGGCCCAATTTACCAAGGGCCATAGCGGATTCTCCATCACTGAGAATTTTAAAATCAAGATTGGAGGGTTTTGCTAAAAGGTTCTTCTCCAGGAATTCTCTGGGGGAAGTTCTCTGGCTGGTGTAATACAGGAGGTCAGACAAGATGATTACAATGGTCTCTCCTGGCCTTGGAATCTATCAACTCCACTACCCAAATCCAGGGCATAATTTGTGTGAGGGCTTGCCAGGGCTGAGCCGGCACCTCCAGGCCTGGCAGTTCAGAGCCCCAGCACCTCTAGGCCGGGCAGTCCAGAACCCCGGCACCGCTGAGCCTGGCAGTTCAGAGCCCCGGCACCTCTGGGCCTTGCAGTTCAGAGCCCCGGCACCTCTGGGCTTGTCGTGTCAGTTATTAAAGTAAAAACATGTCCTTGAGTCCTGACACCTCTTTCATTACAAATTAAGCACTGCCCAAGCCCCCCACATCCACGCCCCTCAATTACCAGCTCTAACCTTTTCCTGGTCACCCTGTGTCCTTGGTAAGCGTGGAGGGGCTATGGGGAGGTGGGAAGGCAGTGGGGTTGTGAGAGATGCCTGGAGGCCATAAAGGATACCTGGAGGCCATACCCAGATCACAGAGGGTTCCTGGGTATCTGGAGCACTCCAGATTTAGGCACCCAAATCGCAATTTTCGGCACCACTGTGATCCACCAACCCCCCGTCTGGCTGCCAATTAACACGCACCTAAACTCACCGGGCACCGAAATTTTTGCATTGGGTATGCACTCTGCTGCCTCAGGCAAGCACCAGGTGCCGGTCTCATATCTAAGCCTCAATATGATCTCCCAACCAGCCAAAGATGGGTGGGGCCCTCCCGGCCCAGTTGTATAGACTCTGCTCTCTAAAGCCCCAAAGGGTTCAAGGTGTTTATCAACTCTCTGTGTCCAGCATTAAACAGCAATAGGTGGGTTCGGGGACAGTTTTAAACAGAGCCCTTGGTTTCACTCAGTGACTTGGCCAAAACCGAAAAGTGTCCATTCAAACTGAAAGTTTATTGATTGAACACAAGAAAAGAACAAGAAATCAAAACAGGCCAAAATCAAAGGCTATTAGCCAGGATGGGCAGCGATGGTGTCCCTAGCCTCTGATTGCCAGAAACTGGGAATGGGCAACAGGGGATGGATCACTTGATGATCACCTGTTGTGTTCATTCCCTCTGGGGCACCTGGCATTGGCCACTGTTGGAAGACAGGACACTGGGCTAGATGGACCTTTGGTCTGACCCAGTATGACTGCTCTTACATTTTTATGTATGGCCTTTATCTGGAAACTGTAGTCGAGTGATTACACAAAACAAATGTAGAGCTTATCGAAACCTCTCTGGTTTAGAGTCTCTTGTTTTCAGGGCAACCTTTCTTTGCTGAAAGGGAGATGTTTAATTTTAGTCTCAGTCCTGATTGGAATGGCATTCATGTATCCTGTTCTGAACAGAGACAGACAGGGTGGAGGAGAGACGGGACAGAGAAGATGGGTGAAATATGGCTTTTGTGGAGGTTTTTGGACTATTGGTTAGTTACAAGTGGATGCTTTGTCTGGCAAGTGAACTACAATACCAGTTGCGTGATCCGGTTAGTTATGAACTGGTCAGGGCTGTCATCTGATGGCATCCTTTCTCCTTCGACAAGGCAGGTTTGGAGGATTGCAATATACTTGACTTCAGGATTTGACAAGAAGCCAAGAGAGCGAGGTAGGATGAGAGGAAAGAAACAGTGGAGCAGAAAACAACACAACAAAGGAAGGGAATACAATACAGGATCTCACGCACATTCCTGGTGCCGGTAATTCTATCTCCCCACTGGTGGGCTGAGATCTGGACGTCACGACAATGAGATGACTTTCAGCACTCGCAGGTGAAAACAAAGTTCCCTAAAGAAGAGCAAGTCCTTCAGATGAGTCGAGATGAGATGAAGCACTGGCAGATCGGGGGATGAGCTGAGGGAAGATGCAAGCTGGGACAGGAGAAGAGAGCTCACACCACCTACTCCTACTCCAGAAGGGAAAAAATTGGGAGGCAGAGTTCATCGCCCTCCTTCTTTTGTCATCAATTAGGCCTAATATCTGTCTCACCAATATTGGCTTATTAACTTCCGTCTCCACCTCTCCTGTTTTCACCCAGCTTAATTTCAATACAGGCCTTGTATCGCATCAACTTGCCCTATGTGGTTTGGACTTACTTAATCTCTCTGGCTGCTTCTCTTGCATCTGCTCAGTAGTTGGAGCATTGGCCTGCTAAACCCAGGGTTGTGAGTTCAATCCTTGAGGGGGCCATTTAGGGATCTGGGGCAAAAATCTGTCTGGGGATTGGCCCTGCTTTGAGCAGCGGGTTGGACTAGATGACCTCCTGAGGTCGCTTCCAACCCTGATAGTCTATGATTCTATGATCTGTTTAGAACATGTTCTATTGAAAATAACTTGACCTACTTTCCACAGTGAACTCCTAAGTAGGCAAGAGTTATAGGCCAATTGTCACAACAGCCGTATTCATGATCAGATCTCTCCTAACTGCACCCAAAACAGCTGTTGGGAGGGGCACGACTCTCTTATAACCTTTAGCCTAAAGCAGTTACCCAGGACGTGGGACACCCCAGGCCAATTCCCCCCTCTGCCTGGGTGGGGAAAAGGGATTTGAGTAGGGATCTCCCACCTTTCAGTACAGCTACCCCAACACAGTGAGTAGGTGCAGATACTTTCCCCTGGATGCTGCCAGCTCCAGGGGGGAAGAGCTACGGTTGCATAGGCGTGTACCTTAACGCTGTATTGCCTGGTTTTCAGAAGGATTTTTCCCCCTGAATTCTGCCTTCGGCAAGGGCACAAGTTATCATCAGGCAGCCTTAGCCTGTGTTAACGAAGTTTTTTGGCAGTGAATTTCCTAGCTTTTTGAACAGAAAAATATTGGAGGAGGGGTCAGTTAGTCTGTTGATGTTTGCCCCAATATTAACAGCTGATACGCTGCCGGGGCTAGAGAAGCACAAAAAGACCCAGCTTTTAAACAGAGCTTTACAGAAGTGAACCCCAAAGAATGACCCCCATTTTACAGATGGGCAGCTGAGGCACGGGGAGCTGACAGGCCTTGCCCAAGGTCACCCAGTGGGCCGGGGGCAGACCCAGGAATAGTTCCAGCCCGGTGGTTTCTCCACTAGGCCACACGGTCATTATGTGATTCCTAAGTGCTCCGCCCGCACCCTGTGCATTTTGCGATCGTGGAATAGGGATAATAGTCGTGCTTTGAAATATTTGGAGTGCGTCATTGCAAACAGGGCGGGGGAGAGAAATCACAGACACGGGCTAGGTCCCAAAATCTTGGCAGCTTTATGACATGCCTCAGACCGTAACTTTAAGCATGTGAGAGAAGGCTACTGTGTCTCCCGCCTCAAACAACATACACTCCCCCCCTCCCCCACACACACTGTTTTTAGCTCACTCTCCCCTTCCTGTCCCATTAAGCTATTAGTAGATAAGAAGCTATGTGTGCACTGAAAAAGCGGGTAGCATAGGTGGTGGGTATAATAAATCTTCCCTGGCACAGCTGGTGTCGCCCTGCCACCTGGGCTGTGGTGGCCCCGCCTGTGCTCCGCCTCTTTCCGTCCCTGCTCCGCCCCTTCCCCGAGGTCCCCACACCCATCACTGCCTGGCTGAGTCCCTTCTCTCCTCCTCCACCCCCCCCCCCCCAAGAGGCCCCCATGGCCCACTGCGTCCCTGTGGGCAGTGGAGGCCTTGCAGGGGAGGAGAGGAGGAATGTGTGAACTAGAGCGGGGGAGGGGGCGGAGCAGAGGCAGGGCCTGGGGTGGAGTGTGGGCGGGGCCACGGACAGAAGAGGCGGGACAAGGAGCTAGCTCCCTGAACCTGAGCCCCAGTGAGCTCTCCTCACTGCCCCCCATGTCCGCAGCGCGTGTTTTCGGGGCATGCTCCGAGCACGCCTCTTATCTCCCCACCACAAGGGCCCAGTCCCCCTCGACCCAGCTCATATGGTGAGGGGCAGAGCCCTTCAGTCGAAGAGGGCACCCCCCCAATCTTGGCTTACATGGGGGGAAGGAGCTCTGACCCCCCCCCATGGACAAGGCCCCTAATCCCATGAGTGGGGGCAGGGAGAGGGGCTCAGACACCCCCAAGAGACAGCCCTCTCCCCAGATCCCATCTTATATAAGTGAGGCAGGGATGGGGGCAGAGACATCCCCAGAGGCGCAAGGGTCACATGAGGGGGAACAGGGAGGGGGAAATCAGACCCACCCCCTAGGGGGACATGGACCCCACATCCCTGCCCACATTCAAAGGTAGGGAGAGCGGCTCAGACCCCCTCACTCCCTCCCCCCCAAGAAAGGCAGCCCCTATAGATCACGACACACATGGGAAGAGAGAATTTGATGCTGACAGACACCCCTGGCTCTAGTTTCCTCAATCCTCTGTCATTTTCCCCCCACATCCCCCTCCTCCTGGCCCCCCTGCACCTCTCCTTGGCCCTTCTCCCCATCCCTATCACTCATCCTCATTTCTCCTGTCCCATAATCCCTCCCTTCCCATGCTGTAGCCCTGAGCCATCAAACACCTTCATCAAACACACCCAGTCCACCGGGGACTACTGCACCAGCCTGTGACCTCAGTCAATGGTGTCGTCCCAGACGTCGTGGAGTGAAGTTCTCAGATCTGGCTCAATCCTGTGAAGCCACCAGTGTCCGGGGTGGCCCCGGGGGCGGCACCGGGGAGAGTCAAGGCACACACCCTGCTGGAGCTTTTTTCTCCATCGCGGCGAGACGGCCACTGTGGCCGCAACGCTTTTCGATAGAACGAACAGCGGATGGAAGGCCAGATCGCTGCAGGATTGTCAGGTTTCGCACCAAGTCAAGCCACTTTATGCCTGTCTTCCCCATCCCTCCCCACTCAAAAATTCTCCTCCCTTCCCAGCAAGCATTCATATGTCTAATTTCTCCCCTCCCCCCCAAAAAATAATACCATTGTTTGCATTCCCCCACCCCCATAACATTTTCCCTTCTCAGGACATCAAGGAAGTTTCTTCCCTGTATGGATTTGCTGATTCCAAACCCAACCAAAGCCCCGACTGCAACCGCTCCCGCATTCAAGATTTCAACCTCGTGTGGACTTTCTGATGTTTAATCAGATGCGAGTTCTGACTAAAGCTTCTCCCACAGTCGAGGCATTTATAGGGTCTTTCCCCCGTGTGGATTCTCCGGTGCGTAACTAGGTTGGAGCTCAGATTGAAGCTTTTCCCACAATCCAGGCATTTGTAGGGTCTCTCTCCCGTGTGGGTTCTCTGGTGTCGAATACAGGTTGAGCTGTCACTAAACCCTTTCCCGCATTCCGGGCATTTATAGGGTTTCTGTCCCGAATGGATTCTTCGGTGCTTAATCAGGGCTGAGTTGTCGCTGAACATTTTCCCACACTCTGGGCACTGACAGTTTTTTTCCCCCGTGTGGATTTTTTGGTGCGTCGTCAGGTTGGAGCTCTGAATGAAACTCTTCCCACATTTGGTGCATTTGTGGGGTTTGTCTCCCGTGTGGATTCGCTGATGCACGACGAGGCTCGAGCTCCGATTGAAACTTTTCCCGCAGTCGAGGCATTTGTAGGGCCTCTCCCCCGTGTGCGTTCGCTGGTGCAGAATAAGGTTGGAGCTCTGATTGAAACTTTTCCCGCACTCCTGGCATTTATAGGGCTTCTCTGCCGAGTGGGGGAGCTGAGATCTACCAAGCTGTTTGCTCATATTGAATCTTTTCTCACATTCGGTGGGTGGAGGTTTTTTTTCTCTTGTATGGGGTCTCTGCTGCATTGAGGTTTCCAGGATGTCCTTTCCACCTCTACTAGAGCTAATGGCTTGACACCCTTTCTTCCCTGGCTGCTTTCCCTGCTGCCTTTCTGCCCTGTGCTGACTCTCAGAAGCTTTTCCCTGCTCGAGGCTTGATGCAATGTCTTCTTTGGAGCATCTGGATGATGCCCCATGGGGTTGTGGCTCGTTACAGCCTGCCTGCCGTGGATTCTCTTCCTCATCCTCTCTCACCATCCTGTCGCCCGCTGGAGTAAAGAGAGAGAACCCGGACAGGAGTCATCCCCTCTGCTGGGGTGAAAGGAAAGAAAGGGACATAGCAAAGAAGAGAGACACAGCACAATAATGGTTGGGGAGAATGAGGGCTTGCCTACTCGCAGGATCGACGGGCAGCGATCGATCCAGCGGGGGTCGATTTATCGCGTCTAATCTAGACACGATAAATTGACCGCCAAGAGCTCTCCCGTCGACTCCGGCACTCCACTGGAGTGAGAGGCACAGGTGGAGTTGACGAGGGAGCGTCAGCAGTCAACTCACCGCAGTGAAGACACCGTGGTGAGTAGATCTAAGTACGTCGACTTCAGCTATGTTATTCACGTAGCTGAAGTTGTGTAACTTAGATCGATCCCCGCCCCCAGTGTAGAACAGACCCGAGAAAGGTAAAAAAATTGACCTCTGTGTAAATTTTCCTTCTCTGAAGTGCAAAGGGGGCACGTGGAGCGCTCTGATCGATTACAGCCTGGTTATTCCTCCTCATCTTTCAAACTTGGAGTGTCCTCTGTCCCCTCCCCACAAATCCAACCCCACATTTCCTCTCTCTAGCTTCACAATATAGTGGTTGCAGGTGGACTGCACATGTGTGTGTGTACGTGTGTAATAGAAATGAAGGCTTATCCCACCTATCAGGGATGGTCTAGGTTTACTTGGTCCTGCCTCAGCCCAGGGGGCTGGACTTGATGACTTCTCGAGGTCCCCTCCAGCCCTACGTTTCTATGATTCCTTCCAGCAGCGGTGAGGCCCTGGGGAGCTACAGAAGCAGTCAGTTCTCTGAACAGCGCTGCCTGATGACACTACGGTGTGAAGCTAGAGAGAGAGAGGAACAACACAGCGATGACGAGGGAAGCCTGCATGCTTGGAAGAGGAAGTGGAATAACCCAGTGGTAACGGATCACGGAACAGCAGGTGCCCACAAGGGAGAAATAGGATTCTGCCATGCACACGCTCAGGGGGAAGTAAATTTGGGGAGGGAGATCCTGCCAGCTGTCTATCAAGATGGGTGAGGCGCTGTGAGTGACATGCTCAGGGGTAGGACCCTACCTAATTCACGGGCCGTTTTGGTCAATTTCACAGTCATGGGATTTTTAAAATGGTAAATTTCATGATTTCAGCTATTTCAATCTGAAATTTCACGGTGCTGTAATTGTAGGGGTCCTGACCCAAAAAGGAGCTGTAGGGGAGTTGCAAGGTTACTGTAGGAGGGGTGGGCCTGCGGTACTGCTGCCCTTACTTCAGCGCTGCTGCTGACGGTAGCGCTGCCCTCAGAGCTGGGCAGCTGGAGAGCGGCGGCTGCTGGCCGGGATCCCAGCTCTGAAGGCAGAGCCACCGTCAGCAGCAGCAATACATACTTCTGCGCTACTGCCTTCAGAGCTGGGCCCTCAGTCAGCAGCCGCCACTCTCCGGCTGCCCAGCTCTGAAGCCAGCAACACAGAAATAAGGGTGGCATGGTATGGTATTGCCACCCTTACTTCTGCGCTGCTGTTGGCGGGGTGCTGCCTTCAGAGCTGGGTGCCCAGCTAACAACCGCCACTCTCCAGCCACCCAGATCTGAACGCAGCGCAGAAGTAAGGGTGGCAGAACTGCAGAGTCTCAATGCGTGGAGGAGACGATGGTGTAGGGGGGAGGGGTTTCGATTTATTAGAAACTGGGGAAACTTTTGGGAAAGGGGGAACCTATACAGGAAGGATGGGGGAAAGCTGACAGGTGCAGAGGAGCACATGATTTGGACATCCCTTAGGGGAGGATCTATTAATAGAGAATCTCTATGTCCTAGTGAGGACAATAGGATGGAAAATGATAAAATATAGGCAGGGTCTGATCAGAAACAATAAAATAAAAGAGTCCCATTCAATTCCATCGTGTAATGGCAGACAGCTAAAAGGAGACAAGTTTTTAAAGTGCTTATATACCACTGCTAGAAGTCTAAAGAATAAAATGGGTGAACTAGAGTGCCCTGTATTAAATGAGGATATTGATATAATAGGCATCACAGAAAGTGGATGGAATGAGGATAATCAATGGGATACAGTAATTCCAGGGTACAAAATATATCAGAAGGACAGAACAGGTCGTGCTGGTGGGGGAGTGGCATTATATGTAAAAGAAAGCGTAGAATCAAATGAAGTAAAAATCGTAAATGAATCAAACCGTAGCATAGAATCTCTATGGAGAGAAATTCCATGCTCTAATAATAAGAATATAGCGGTAGGGATATATTACCGACCATCTAACCATGATGGTGATACTGTGAAATGCTCAAGGAGATTAGAGAGGCTATTAAAATAAAAAAACTCAATAATAATAATGGGGGATTTCAATCATCCCCATATTGACTGGGTACATGTCACCTCAGGACGGGATGCGAGATAAAATTTCATGACACCTTAAATGACTGTTTCTTGGAGCAGCTGGGCCTGGAACCCACCAGAGGAGAGACAATTCTGGATTTAGTCCGAAGTGGAGCACAGGATCTGGTCCAAGAGGTGAATATAGCTGGACCGCTTGGTAATAGTGACCATAATATAATTAAATTTAATAACCCTGTGGCAGGAAAAACACCACAGCAGCCCAACACTGGAGCATTCAATTTCAGAAAGGGGAACTCCACAAAAATGAGGAGGTTAGTAAACAGAAATTGAAGGGTACAGTGCCAAAAGTGAAATCTCTGCAAGCTGCATGGAAACTTTTTAAAGACACCATAATAGAGGCTTAACGTAAATGTATACCCCAAATTAAAAAACGTAGTAAGAGAACCAAAAAAGAGCCACGGTGGCTAAACAACAAAGTAAAAGAAGCAGTGAGAGGCAAAAAGGCATCCTTTAAAAAGTGGAAGTTAAATCCTAGTGAGGAAAATGGAAAGGAGCATAAACACTGGCAAATGAAGTGTAAAAGTACAATTGAGAATGCCAAAAAAACAATTTGAGGAACAGTTAGCCAAAGACTCCAAATAATAGCAATTTAAAAAATATATATATTTGAGAAGCAGGAAGCCTGCTAAACAACCAGTGGGGCCACTGGACGATGGAGAAACTAAATGAATTCTTTGCATTGGTCTCACGGCTGAGAATGTGAGGGAGATTCCCAAACCTGAGCCATTCTTTTTAGATGACAGATCTGAGGAACTGTCCAGGATTGAGGTATCATTAGAGGAGGTTTTGGAACAAATTAAACAGCCATAAGTCACCAGGACCAGATGGTATTCACCCAAGAGTTCTGAAGGAACTCAAATGTGAAATTGCAGAACTACTAACTGTAGTCTCTTAACCTATCATTTAAATCAACTTCTGTACCATGTGTTCCTCCACACCTGTTGGCTTTCCCCCAGCCCTTAGTTTAAAAACTGTTCTACAACCTTTTTAATGTTAAGTGCCAACAATCTGGTTCCATTTTGGTTTAGGTGGAGCCCATCCTTCCTGTATAGGCTCCCCCTCTCCCAAAAGTTTCCCCAGTTCCTAATAAAGCTAAGCCCCTCCTCCCTACACCATCGTCTCATCCACGCATTGAGACTCTGCAGTTCTGCGTGCCTAACTGGCCCTACACGTGGAATTGGGAGCATCTTAATGCTACCATGGAGGTCCTGGACTTCCATCTCTTACCTAGCAGCGTACGTTTGGCCTCCAGGACCTCTCTCCTATCCTTCCCTATGTCATTGGTACCTACATGTTCCACAACCACCGTCTCCTCCCCGGCACTACAGATAAGTCTATCTAGATGTCTTGAGAGATCCGCAACCTTTGCACCAGGCAGGCAAATCACCATGCAGTTCTCCTGATCACCACAAACCCAGCTATCTATGTTTCTAATTATCAAATCGCTCATTACTAATACCTGTTTCTCCCCCGGAGAGGTATCCTCAGTGCGAGAGATACCACAACATCATCTGGAAGGAGGGTCCCAACTATGGGATTTTTCCTTCTGCTCCAGTTGGATGCTCTCCTTCCCTGGGACTTTCATCCTCCGCAACAGCACAGAAAGAGAGAGATCTTGGAGTCACTGTGGATAGTTCTCTGAAAACATCCACTCAATGTGCAGCGGCAGTCAAAAAAGCGAACAGAACGTTGGGAATAATTAAGAAATACTTCCTTTTGTTTGATTTAAACCCACTGCCTATTAATTTCATTGGGTGACCCTGATTCTTGTGTTATGTGAAGGGGAAAATAACACTTCCTTATTCACCTTCTCCACACCAGCCATGATTTTATAGATTTCTATCATATCCCCCCTTTAGCTGTCTCTTTTTCCAAGGTGAACAGTCAGTCTTTTTCATCTCTCCTCATAAGGAAGCTGTTCCATACCTTAATTCTTTTGGTTGCTCTTCTCTGTACCCTTTCCAATTCTAATATAACCTTTTTGAGATGGGGTGACCAGAACTGCACACAGTAGTAAAACTCTGGATTTATATAGAGGCAATATGATATTTTCGGTCTTGTTGCCTATTCATTTTCTAATGGTTCCTAACATTCTGTTTGCTTTTTTGACTGACGCTGCACATTGAGCAGATGTTTCCAGAGAACGAACCACAATGACTCCAAGATCTCTCTCTTGAGTGGTAACAGCTCATTTAGACCCCATCATTTTGTAAGTATAGTTGGGATTATGTTTCCAAAATGCATTGCTTTGCATTACG